GTCAGTTTGCAATGACAATAAAATTATAATATGCTCCTTTTTTGTAAGTTTAATAACCATTGATGACATAAAAATATGGCTTTATATATTTCGGGATAAATAATTAGTCTAAAAACAGCGTGAAAGTTGGGAAATGTACCCTAGGGACACGTCATGGTCGTGAATTTCGAGACTTTGAAAATACGAAAAAAATACCTAGAACCTATTTAAAACCAAATAAATGTGTGTAACATGTTGCCCCCGTTCCAAAAAATATTAAAACACATAATAATAAACTACAAATCCAGTATCTACAAAGTAAAAGGCCAGGGACATGAAAACGTACGTTTTTAAATTTTCAGTCTATAATGTAATGTAAGATCTTTCAATTGTAACCACATGTTTTGCAGTTTTTACAAAGCACATAAGGGTAGTTAATTTTTGACATTTAAACCATTAGGCTAACATTTTGGTTCTGGTTTCATTGGTGTAGACACTGCCTGATTTCTTATTTAAGGTTGAGATTACTTTCCATGTGCTTGAGTGTCTTTTTCAGCCTCTTAACCATTTTTGGTTATTAAATTAAAATTATTTAAAATAATTGTTCTGTTCGATTTTGTTTAAGTTACACGAAGAAAAGAAATAAAATCCCAGAGAGATTTGAATGAGCGAGGCTGAATGATGGCTCTCTACAGTCTGCATATTTTACCACTGCCAGACCAAAAATGAAAAACATATCGGTACACAAAAACAGCATAAGTTAGGAACTGAGTGTGTGAGGGAACGACTTGTCGCTTAATGCCGTAAGATAACACGAGGAACATATTTGTTGCCGCGGCCATGAAACGCTCCTGATAGAAACGTTTATTTTTGTCACCAATGGTCGCTGGTCTCTTCAAGTGGATGTCTTCATTTTATTTAATCATACGTACTTCTATTCTTAGGTTGCCAAGTGCATTCGTAACCTAATTATTCCTAAAATTATATCTAAAATTTGAATAAGATGAGAAATATTTTTTCCTACAGTCACCCGACAAAGTGGGCTTCCTTGCACAGATTAAGGAACTAAAGCCTTACTTTGGCGCACAACAGAGGCGTCTTTATAAAATGCGGGGCCTGGGGCAATACATAATTGCGAGGCCTTGTTTAACCAAGCTCACCAGGGGGGGGGGGGGGGGGGTCTGGGGGGTACGGAGTATTTGTAAAATTATACTTGTAAAGTCGTCATTTTAAGCACTTTGACGAAAAAAAATGAATATTTTACACTCTGAAAATAGGCGTAAATATTATTGCTAATTACACATATTATTGTTCCAATTCCAAAGTGGATATCATAAATATTGCACACGAAATTCTTAACAATCATTAATAAAAAAAAATTAACACTTCTCCTTTACTGTGGATTGTGAATTGAATTAACACTTTGTAAATTAAACACAAAGTGGCGGGACGACAATTAATAGTACTGTAAATGCTTATAGGCTATCTTGTTTATTTATTTTTTGTCAAGTTAGGTTTATTGTGTTTTCGGCAGTTGGTCTGTGGAGGGTGTTTTAAAGGTAAAAAATATTACATAAATAATTGTCAATGAGATACTTGCAAATTCGTCATTTTAAGCATTTTGATGAAACAAATGAATCTTTTACACTCTGTAAAAGGCCGTTAATATTATAGCTAATTGCATACGGTATATTATTGTTCCAATTCCAAAGTGGATATCATAAATATTGTCCACGAAGTTCTTTACAATAATTAATAAAAAAATTAACACTTCTCTTCACTGTGGATTGTCGTCCCGTCACTTTGTAAATAGTAAATGCTCATAGGCTAACTTGTTTATGTACTTTTTTGTCAAGATAGGTTTATTGTGTTTTCGGCAGTTGGTCTGTAATTGTGGTTTTAAAGGTAAAAAATATTACCTTTAATTGTCGATGAGTTTTTAATAATAAATTAAAAGAGGTACAGTAGTATCATTACAGTGTAATTGATTCACAGTATTACTTTTTACTTTAATGAAAAATATTGTCATAGGTTTATGTTTATTGCAAAATGCGAGTAGTTTACAGTCGGAATGGGCACACGGAAGGGACTAAGGCTAAAGTTGAAGTGACGTCACATCTCTAGTGGCTAATGTCTTCTCTTGAGGCGACACGATTACCGTAACGAAACGATATGATTTCAGCGGCGTTCGTGGCATAGTTGGTAGCGTTTCGGATTAGAGTACAGGAGGTCCTGGGTTCGAATTCCGATGGCAGCATTAACTTTTTGTCAACAAATTTTTCATATCAGCAAGTTTGGTTGGTTAGGTTAGGTTATGACAGTTTAATTTTATAATACTAAATTTTAAAATTAATAAAAAATTATAAGTAATTATTAATTAGATTTTTATCTTATATAGTTTTTATACTATCATCAAGTCTGGTTGGTTACGTTACGTTATGACAGTTTAATTTTAAAAATTAAAAATTTATTTTATAATTTTAAAACAATATTTTTCAATTAAAAAGTTTATTTTATAGCTAAAAATTAAAAAAAAAATTATTTAAATTATTTCAACTTAGCAGTTCTAGCGGCGAACGCTGACACTACAAGATATGTTAGCCTTAGTCCCTCCCGTGTGCCCCACCGGTTTACAGTCAGTCTTATCCACGCTGATTATTCATTCAATCCAGTAAACATTTACATCTGTAAATAAATTGAACTTAATTAATAATACAATAGAAGTTTAATGGCACCAGTACCAGTAAGAGTAAGCGTATGACTCACTCACATTCACCGGGGTGGCTGCCGCGAGGCTCGGGTTCCGTCATCGCCGTCGAGCTGTCAAACGTTGTCTGATATTCTTTTGTGTTTTAAATGTCGTTCGTAGGTTTTTAATCGATACAACAATTGATATAGGCTAATTCATAATAAATAAGACATATTTAAGGCACATGTATCTGTCTGTCCTTTATTTTTTATTTTCATTCCAAAAAATTAACTTATTTCTAGCGATAGTAAGGCCTCACTGCGCGAGGCCTGGCGCACAACAGTATTCCAACCAAACAACACAAAACAGGGTGATTTGATTATGCATGTAATCAGTGTACGCTTGAAAATACACCGGCAACACAGATGTTACAGCTACAATCAGCTGGTGCAGATTTCCCATTTCGTTTCAGTGTTTGGATTCAACCTAACCTAAAAACGTGTTGTACAGTGTTTAAAAGACTAATTATTTATATGATTTATAGTAACTGTAGGAAAAAAAATAATGTGGAACACGAGAGCAAAAACTGGCTTTGGTGCACTCGAGAAACTTTCCACTCGCCTACGGCTCGTGCTTAAACATTTCTGTCGTGTCAGCTAAGTGCCACTTCGTCCACTAGTTAGACAAATAACTAAAGTCTATCAGCCGACAACATCAAACTTAAATACCCCCAGCAGCAAACCTGCAGACTAAGCGAATTTCAACTTGTCTGATTACATTTTTACTAAAATATTTCCATAAATAAGACTTATTTATTCCCTATTTAAATAACATTAAATTTAACGAGTGCTTAGGTTTGCTGCTACGGGGAAGGTAAAAAGTGTTTTTTGACCATACGTCAATAGTATAGGATGAAAGAAATAAATTTGCCAAATGTTATCAATATATATCCATAAATAAGTAAACTACAACAATTTTCATTTTCTCCATAAGAATAACATGGGAATTTTAAATTACACTATTTTTGAATTTTCTCTATTTTTCACAATCATATGCATGGTGATGTTTGGGTTAAGTAATTTCTGCTCCAGGGCAAAATTTCTTTCTTAAAAATTTATTTTGGAAAGGGGATAAGATTCTGGGGGTTTAATTCTGACTTATCCAGGTTTTTTTTTGTAACAATGGTTTTAATTATATCTAAACAAACCAATCGTCCATACTAATTCCCAAAAATTTTGAGTGGAGTAAGAACTATGTAAAGGTAGAGAAAGTAAAAAAATGAACATTAAAAACTTTTTTATTTAAAGTATAAATGTTACACAAAATACATGAACGAACATTGAATATCAAAAAGTTTTAAGTATATGGAGAATATGTTTCAGACTAAATTTACTTACAGTCATGGTAAAGATGATACTAATAGTAGAAGTTATATGTAAAATATGAATCATCTTTTTGAAGAACAATGTAATTATATTACATGTAAACCTTTTTTGTTACAAACTTTTTTTAACAATTCAAAAGTAGGTAGTACTAACAGTTTAACAGAAATCAGTAAGGAAACAACTTTTAATGTTATTACCTAAACCAGTTACCAAGTTGGCTTACATTGTATGCAATTTTACCTTAAAAGGTAACAATACAAATATTCAATATAAAAATAGGTTAAAAGTTAAAAGTATAAAAGATATATCAAGGTTAAAAGGACTATATAAATCAGAAAATACACTAAGCATACATCATACCGTACTTGAAAAAGTCATACGTTCTAGAGAAACATAATATAAGGCTATCAAAAATAAATTTGTAACTTTAAATTACATTCAGTCAAATCGCTGAGCGAAAACGCATTCTCACAAATGACAGTTTTACATTATTTCATGCTTTCTAAAATTTAAAATTTGAAATTTAAAATTCTTTCCAGACAAACATAAATATAAAAAATAGTAAGTTTATAACTTCAAATTACATTCAGTCAATTCGCTGAGCGAAAACGCATTCAACACGTTAAAAATTCTAATTTTACATTTTTATGTTTTAGAAATTTAAAATTTTTTTCGATACAAACATACATATCATAAATAGTAAGTTTTTAACTTCAAATTACATTCACAGTCAAATCACTGAGCAAAACACATTCTCACACCAGGAATGTGTGTGTAAAACTTATTAGTTTGACATTTTCGTGCTTTTAAAAATTTCAAATTATTTCCCAGAAATACATAAATATCCAAAATAGTAAGTTTGTAACTTCATACTACATTCAGTCATATACCATAGCAAAAACAAATTCTCTTACATTAAAAATGCTAGTTTTACACTTTTACACTTTGGAAACTCAAAATAAAATATATTGAATAAAAATATATGTATAAAAACGTAGTTCAATAGAAGAAGCAGGAACTTTCAAAATCTGAAAAAAAAACAATTATTGTTAAATTTTTACATGTTATGATTTGTATTATATTATATAAACCTGAGCCATACTGCAAAATTAATTGATCTAACGCCACAAAGTACCTGACAATAATACATAACACAACATTAAACACAATGTTACCCCACACCACTGTGTTGTATAATAAATTACTGTGACTCAAAAATGTTAAAAACTGTTTTTAAAATAAGTATCCGGTATGTTGTTATTCTGGGATATTCATTTGTTCGTAGAATATTTCAGTAGATATAAATTAAATCCAACTGAAGCTAACTTTTGATTCAAATTGAACAGGTGAATAAACCACTCACAAAATATGCTAAAACAAAAACTGAAACAATTTTACAATCTTTCTTCTTTAATGCTTTGATTATTGATATAACAAGTGTGCTATGGTAGCCTACAGAAAGTTTCCTTAGTTACATTTGGTAAAAGCAGTCGGTGCATACAACAGAAATCAGTAATTGTCATCAGTGTCGATGGCTCAATTGACCTAGTTCATTTTTATTCTAAAACTGGATACATTATCAAAATGGAGATGAGATGTCTCCTTCTCTCCAAAGACAAAGGTATAATGAAATGGATGAACCTTGATTACCGACTAAGATCAACTGATTCGTTATCCACTACTCCCAGTACCATATTAATTTTAGATCAGCAAATCATGTTTCCGCTTTTTTGTGAGTAGTGGTTAGATGATAAGACCCAGGGGTCGATTAGTGATAAGATGGGCTAGTGTGGAAGGTGAGTGAGAAAATTTAGAAAAACAACAGTAAGAAATCTGTTTTACCTCAATGAGTTGCATTTGTTTGGTGTGGGGTCGTCCATCCTACCACGGATTGGTCTTCCGTACCCAGAAGGTGAAGGGGTAGATTGTGCAGGCAGTGAATTTTCATCTGGAACTATATATAATAGATGATCATTTGTATAAATTGAGGTACCAGAATTGCAATCTATTAGAAACCACAAGACAAATTACGAAAATGTACTGAACACACTTTTTATTAGAAAAACAAGAGAGTTAGAGAGTACAGTAACGGAATTGGTTTCAGGAATCTTAAGTTACTTCTAATTTTTACTAAACAGTAGCCTACACATTATGTATTTTTTTTTACAAAAAAACTGGTACTAGAATATTGTTTCTTTTCATTATGCTTTAAATCAACTTGTGATTTCATTTAGATTTATTATAATCACTAATGGTAGGCACATGATGTGTTAAATGTGTGTCCATTGACATCATGGAAATTTTGCTCATTGAAATTGAAACCTCAAAATACTAAGCAACCTTTCCACTACAATTTCAAATATAAGAAATTATACAATACAAAAGAGCTTAAACAGCTTAGAAGTTTCTAGAAAGGGGTTTGAATTTCCTGGCCACCATTCGACCCGAAGAAACCTCCCTTCTCAATTCAAACCTTAAAAATTCTACACAGTAAAACATCTTAACTCTTGTGTAAAGATTTCATGTTTTTTGTGTAGAGGCACTCTTTTCAAGTATGCCTGCCATCACACCAAATATTCTATAAAACAACATATTTCCATAAATTTTGTAATACAAGACTGGGTAAACTAACTGGTTATAGTGTAGAAGTTCAAATCTTGGCTGTTTGTTTGACCCAAACAAGTCGTGTCTGGATCCGTATATAATTTGTCATTGGATTACTAATGATGCTATCAAAGAAAAGGTTGAAACTAGATAGTAACAAGACCAGGGTTTAACCTTACACAAAAAAAGTAGGTAGCTAATACGCTTGCAGGCCGTTGAACACAATATCTGTCAGTTTGGATTCATCAATTATTTAAGACTAATAATTAAGCTATTTGTTGTCTGATAAACTTTTTGGAAAAAATAACATAACGATATGAAAAGTTCCTCAAATTACCTCCTGGTACTTGCAGAAGTACGTTTGAATGGCAGGAAGATGGCCCTGCCGCTGCCGCCAAGTCTTGCTGGTGTGATGGCCCTGCAGCACCTTCACACCAAATGTTCTGGATGTTTCCTAGAGAATAAGACAATCAATGTTATAATAGATAAAGACAAACTTTGAATTTAAAAAAAATTCCCGCCACAGAAAACCTAAAGACAAAGCAAATTTCCATTTACCTGGCTGGAATTCCACTGAAATATTGAGTACTTAGGTTTGCTGCTACAGAGAAGGTAGTAAGATATGTCTTGTACTAAAATTTTGATACTTTATAATGAAATATACAAATTAACCAAATTAGTATGTGGGTAGGCCTACTACATAAACCACGATCTCTAGGCATATTTTTTTATATAAAGAAATTAATTTTTAATGGCGATTTTCGGCCTAGAAGTAGAACCCCAGTTAACCAAAATAAAGGAGAGAGCCGTTTCAGATAACTTTTTAATTTGATTAAACTTGATAACTTTTGGTTAACCCATCATATGCTAAAAATAGCCAATGAACCACCACAGAGTATAGGAAAAATGAATTTAAGAAAATGTCTATAATTCAGTGTTTTATTTAAGCTACAAAAATGTTACAACAGGGATTATAAAATACTTTAAACCAGACAACTGAAGTTATTAAAACATTTTACAGTTCTATATTATTTTATAGAACCATTTCGATTAACCCGCGTTTTGGTTAACCCAAATTCAGTTAACAGGGGTTGTACTGTAACAGAAAAGTCCAATTTTTACAAAAACGAGGCCTGGACGATTTTGATTGAAATTTATTATGTGAAAGTCCTTTTTACTCTCTAAACAAATAGACACAAGCCTTATCACTGTAAAAATTACACTTTAAAATGTGATTTCCTTTTAAAACACTTTAAAAATGATGGGTCTAAAGTAAATAATTGCAACTTTTACGTTTTTACCTTAAATTATCATTGCTACTGACTCCCACCTCTTAAGTTACTCACAGTAAAAGTTGACAAGCGAATGGGAGAAAGTATGTATCAGATTGCTGATACCGTTTATTTAGGCCTAGATAATTACTAAACACTTGTTGCTACACAAATTGAATTTGAGTTTCGGAAAGACACAGAATGACTCAATCATCTCAGTGCAAGATAATAAGCATGACATTATTAAGAGTCAATAGTATTATTAAATCATATTTCAAGATTAAAATTCAGCAACATTATGCGTAAATTACAAACAAATTTGTAGTTAGAAATATAAAGTCAAGTTACATGAAACTTACCGACGAGTTGGCTTGGGGTAGAAAAGTTTGTGGCACCAAGAGGTGAAAAACCTGCTTGCAGTTGCATGTTACCCACTCCGTAGGCTGCAAAACAATTTAAAAGTTTGTTGAGAACATTTAAATAAATTTACAGTTTAATTAAGACTCCAATGTGTTGATTAAAAGTAAACATTAAGAAATATCATTGGTGTAAGAGAGTAGGCCCTATCTACTGTATTCACAATTCAAAAAACAAGTGAGATTAGAACGGTACTCTATCAACAAGGAACGCTGTTATTTTGAAATATTGAGTTTATTAATATTGTTTATATTTTATGGACCTTGGAAACATTGAATAATTATAGACAAAAGTAATTTGTTAACGTTTAACATTTAGGCAGCTACGTCAAGCTAGGAGATATGGATATGTATAGGTGAATTCTGTTGCGATTCAAAAGTAACCTCAAACTCCAATACCTACACTTTCAACTTAGTCCACGTTATAATTATATTAAAATATTTTATTTGTTAGAAAATAAAGAATTCCTTAATGAATAGTTTAATATTGAATCTATATTATAAGTATGATTATGATTCTTTAATTAAATAATTTATAAATGAAAAACGTTTTTAAAACAAAACGTTTTTAAGCGCCCTATAATTTATAAATATGTGAAGAGTATAAATACTTGTGAGATTTAAAACGAAAAACATGGGGGGCATATTTACAATTACCTTCATCTATTAAACTAATGTATTATTATAACAATTGCATGCACCCCACGTTTTTCGTTTTAAATCTTACAAGTATTTATACTCTTCACATATTTATCAATTATTTTCTACTTTTTAGTGTGTTTAAAAACGTTTTGTTTTAAAAAAGTTTTTATTTATAAATTATTTTCTAATTTTTAGTTTTTAATGTGTGTGAATGTTCAAGGATCTATATCAGATTAAGACAGAGGCATGTGGGAAATCAAAGGTTTATTTGAGTTTCTTTTCATAAAATTATGTATTAGATTGAATGTATAGCCTACCTACTGACTATAAATATATCAATCTATTTAATTTATTGTTTACTTTATAGAATACCAAATAAATAAAAATTGACATTATTAACAAACACCTTTATATCTGCAATCCAATTGTTTATCTTTATTTTGAAAAATGTTTGTTTGTATAAAGAATCTCCTTGGAAACATAACCTGCAACTCTTAACCTGTGCTCTTCGAACTGTCAAATTTAAGTATTTACAGCTGACTTAAATTACCTAATTGATACATTAACATTCTTTCAAAATGTAAGCATGGAAAATTTGGAAGTCCATGGGGCGTAGCCCAAGGGAAATATGAAAATTAAATGATAGAATATTGCATTGTCATCTATTTGTGAGCTGTGTTTCAAATTTCAAGTCTCTAGCTCATCGGGAACTTCGATTAAAATTGATATAAAAATGTATAGGAAAGCGAGCTAATAAAAAAACCCATGGGGCGTAGCCCAAGGGAAATATGAAAATTAAATGATATAATATTGCATTGTCATCCATTTGTGAGCTATTTTTTAATTAGCGAATTTCCCTATAGGGAAGTAGCTATTACCGTAGGTGGCACGGTAAGACCTAGACCCGGGACCAATTTACTTTTCTATTTTGATGTCCCCAGAGGCCAAAAACACCATTCGTTCAAATTTTTATATATATACGTCCGTGAACAACTTGAGTAATTTTTGTCCAATTTTGATGAAATTTGGTTTAAAGGTGTAAAGCGGGATAAACTTGAATGAATTTGCGAACCAGCACGATCGGACCATGGGAACGGGGCTTTACGGGGGGTTTTATGGGGTAAAAATTGGATTTTCTCACTTTTGACCCTCAAAACACAAAATTTCCCCCATTTCTCTTTAGACCTTTTTAAAGAGCTTAAAAAAACAAATTATTTAGTATATAAAAGTATTTTTGTACGATTATTAGTAACGAAGAAAATTAAAAAAATTGTAAATTTAAAATTCCCATGTTATTCTTATGGAGAATATTGTCAAATGTTGTAGTTTGCTTGTTTATGGATACATTTTTATCAAACTTGGCAAATTTATTTATTTTGTACTAAGCTATCAATATTTTACTCAAAAACACACTTTATTAGTTTCCTTGTAGCAGCAAACCTAGGTACTCGTTAAACCTAATGTTATTAAAATATATTTAACTGAAAATCAATTCAGACAAATGGAAATTCGCTTAGTCAGCAGGTTTGCTGCGGCGGGGGTATTTTAAGTTTAAAGTCTCTAGCTCATCGGGAAGTATAAAAATTTGCAAGAAAGCGAGTAAAAACAAGCCCATGGGGCGTAGCCCAAGGGAAATATGAAAATTAAAATACATTTGTTAAATATTTCAGATTGTGGATTTTACTTAACAAAAATATGGTAGAGCCTGATGCAATTTTCCAAAGAGGTAATAGTAAATTATGCTTTCTAATTAGAGTAGAGATTACAGAGTAATGTCTTAGATTGAACAATTCAATTATACCTGTCCTAATTAAATAAAAAAGTTGAATAATAGTATCATCCATTATTAAGAGGATTATTGTTTATTGAACAACCTTTGGGAGTATCGAAATGTCAAATTGAATTATTAGGGTGCAGATCTAAAAACACATCTTCAATGGTTTTTTATAGGTATGCAATTAGTTTTATTTAGGCTACTGTAGCCTATAGCACAAATTAACTGTCATATTAATCATGAGTCTTGAATATTCATTTAAGATTGATAGAGCTTTTAAACTTTTAGGAACAAAAAATTGGCTTCAATTCCAAAAAGTGGACATTCTTAACTGACCAGAAGTTTGAATGATTTTTACAGCTTTAGAGAAAAAGATAAACTAATACATTGTGTAGGGAATATTCATTAAAATATATCACTCAAAGTCATCTTAATAATGCCTTTAAAACATAAGTATTACTTTTACGATTTTTTTCACAACACCTAGTAATTATATTATAGCCTAGGCATACACACTAAGTTCTTAATTCTAATTACTTTATTGGGGAAATATAAAGTTGTAGTGTGCTTACCAATCGCGTTGGTTGGAACTTGTTGCAATACCCCCTGCGATTGGCGAAAGTTCATTCCTCGTAACTCTTTCCTCAACTGTTGAAAATAACACAAGTTAAGAGCGTAGTTAAAAAAATAAAAAAAATTAAATAGCTATTCCTTATACCTATAAAAAATTTTCTTTAACACAAAATATTAAAAATGGTACTTAAAACACTAACTGTACCTACCAAAGGCACAATTAAATTTACAATGTTCGAGGATACAAGATAGAATTGTGCACTAATCTTTAAATTCATGGATAATAAAGAATGAAGAATTTATTCACCAATATACGCTATAATTATTAGGTGTCGTCAAAATATTGAGTAGCAGAATTCTACCCCAATGAAAAAGCGCCTACGTCATTTTGACATCACAAGGGGCGGGGCCTATACACGGTTGAGAAACAGCCTGCGGCTGGAAATTTACCCCCAATGTTTTATTAAATAATTAACATGTAATTATTTGCTTATAAAATGATTTGCCATACTAAAGAAGGGTCCGCGGAATTGCCTAACTCTGGAACTCGCTAACCCCATGTTAAACGCCCTATCTTCAAATTTGGTCGATGAGAGGAACTCGCTAACTCGTTCGGTTTTGGAATTGGCTAACTCCGGAACCCGCTCTAGAGCCGGGTTAGCGAATTCCGTTTTCGTACGGAAGTCGCTAACTCGGTTCATCGGCGGAACTCACTAACTCCCAATCAGAAGCCTCGCAGGCCATCCAATGGGAGCCAAGCACGAATATTTTTGGCCAGTGTTGCCGAAAGTGTAGTACCTATATCGTATCGGTACCATGTCGTATCCTACGATTAATTAGGAGTAAGAGCAACATAGTCGATAAAATAAATATATTTAGAAGTATGTTTAACATTATTCATATGATTATTAGGGTGGAAAATGCATTATAGTCTTACCATAGACTAACCAACACAAGTAAACTTTACATCCCATTGTAAACTTTGAAGCTCGTTTTTCGTGTCTAGTTCAAGTCCGGTGACACTGATCGCTAGTGTCCACAACATTGTGTTTCTATTATTTTATAGTCAACTTCATGATTTGTTTTTTACTGTTCGGTTATATAACTAGGGGACGTGTTATTAGTTGTGATTAGGACGTTTTATTTGGTTAAACGAGGTTTTAAATTACTGAAAACAAGAAACAATTAATTGTAAACAAAACACGACCTCTAAAGACAGTGCACCGGACAGAACTAACAATACAACTGTCTTCAGATGATCCATAAGGATGAGAAATGTACTAATATAAGGGAGTATGTTTTATATGTGGGTTTCTTACTTAAATAGTAGCTTATTTGTATGCAAAAGATAAAAATGCACATTTAATTTTAATCTATTAGGTACATGTTATGAAATATCTATTTTAGTAGTCCGCCATTTGTTTCTTTTATTCGAATAAATACCATTTTGTGAACTTCTGCAAATAAAATTATTGAGTTCGTATTTTATATACTGGGCTAGTAACCTTAAATCATAATAAAATTTACACGATAATTGTCATTACAGAATTACATTGTAGTGGTAATGTATTTTTAAATAGAGCTATTGAATTTAAATAAATATTTAAAAATACATTATAAAGTGGTAGACCTAATGTATTCATGGATTGCATTAAAAGTTAGTCTATGCATAATACAACTTGTAAATTTCTTTTATCGTAGGCTATTAGTGTTGAACCTGGGTCATCCTCTTGATTTTGTTTAATTAATATTAATTTCAGTAGGCCTACTTTTTAAAAGTCTGGAGTTTTTCTCCAGGCTAATTCTAAATGGATCCAGGCGTTCTTGTTTGTTACAATTCTTATGAATGGTGGCCATAGCTAAAATTACTTGATCTTATCCAAAAACAAAGCTATTGTCTATTGTGTAGCTCAGTACTGGGGAACCGTGAACCGAGCAATGGCTTGGTATAGTTTATATCGATTGAGAAAAAAATATAAAGGAAACCCAACTGAATTAAAATAACCCTGTCACATTTTATTATATGAATATTATATCTTCTCCTATTATTTACTAGTGGTGCTTTGGTGTACAATCTAAAAACGGGTTTAAAACATGTAACATTATTGCTAAAATATTCAACACATTTTAGAATTAGGCAACTATTCACTAGTAGGCCTACAATGCTTTGGTTCAAACTATTAGGACTAGATAAAAAAGTCTATGTCATCGTCATCATATTTGTACACGTATGTTGGACGGTTCAACGACGAACATTTAATTTAAAATCTATAAATTAGTTATGAAAGTTACGATGGTTGATGACTGTATTAATTAATGGTTTTGGTTTATTACGACATTACAATTAAATCTGTTTTCCGTGTTTAAGCACTTGCGTGTATTTTATCTTAATTTCGTAGATGTTTAATTATTTTGTACCAATTAAACTGAATTTTGAATATTTTTCATATTCTATTATTTTCTTTTATACTGATGGCATTTATATTTAAGATCGAAATCATAAACATTTAACTGGCCATTATACAGTTTAGTAAAAAAACACTTTTTCATGATTTATTAATTGTCTTTTAATTACTTTGGGCTAGTTATCTGTTAAAAGTGGAATTGATAACAAAAAACAATAACATTTACTGTATCTTTATAGACACTGACATTTTGAAATACGGCATTGTACGATTATTTTGTCGTACAAGGTTGGAAACGCTCCGAGCAGTGGGCGCGGCCGGGTTAGCGACTTCCAGAGTTAGCGAATTCCGCCACAAGACAAAATCGAGTTAGCGGGTTCCGGAGTTAGCCAATTTCTGACTGAGACGGTTAGCCAGTTCCGACAAACGACCGAGTTAGCGAGTTCCTGAGTTAGCCAATTCCTATGTCTCCTACAGAATTTTACTCCTGGAAATCTACTCTCGGTAGTCAAATCAAAACTGTCCGACCCCGGTATTCTACCCCTGTGGTTAGCTACACTACGTATCGGCCAAGATTCATTGTTGTAGTTGATTTTATTAATTGGTTCATGTAAATCAATGGCTCTTAATCATTACCTTCTAATATCCAGTATTAGATTAGGTTGGTTAGGTTAGGTTACCAATAAATAAAATTAACTACATCAATGAATCTTGGCTGATGAGTAGCGTAGCCAACCAGGGGGGGGGGGTAGATTTTCGGGAGTAAAATTTCAGTGTCAAGGTTTATTGGGATTTTGATTAATTACAACTGTTAAATAAATCGTGACATGCGAGTTGATTGGAATGAATAATAATTTTTCTATCCTTAAAGTTTGAAACCGGAAATCTACCCCAGACCTGTGACATCAATGACGTAGGCGTTTTCCAAGAGGCTAAATTTCCGGGGGTAGATTTTCAGCGACCCAAAGTATTCACAAAAATCAACATTTAAGTCAATATCCTGAGTATCACAGCTAAAAATACTCTTCAGTGGTATAAAATGTCATAATTTTAATCCATTTGCTAATAAAATTTCTTAGGTGGTAACATTTTAACATTGGTTGGCAGTTTATTATAGCCTACATTAAAATTTGATGGTTGGTAACTATTGCTCTTATAATACTTATTAAGTCCATTACAATAGGTACTAGGTCTAACAATATTATCTTTTTGTCTGGTGTTATGAGAACAAACACAAGAGGTTTTTTTTTTAATCCTCCTAAAGACAGGCTCAGATTATAGATACTAAAATAAGTTATTGTCAAATTCTTGTTTCACTACCTAGTCAATGAAGGAAAATGTCCCCAACAATCCTTTAGACAACAAAGCTAACCTAATACCAAATGCAAATCTGTTATATAGGCTACAATAAATATTTGACATTTACCGATACCGATGATTTACCTAAATATGATTAAAAACTCACAAGCTTGTACTGGACGCGCTTTGCGACTTCCTCGTTAGGCTGCCAGTTCAACCGGACCCAGTGGCCCCAACAAGAAGGGGCAAGTTGTTCAATGGTACATTTCTTGGCTATAGCGGCACTTCGATGAGAAGAAAAGGTCAAGTAAAACACTGGCGATGTCATCCCTCTCTCAAAATCTTTAGTGACTGACACCAGCTCATTGTCAAGCTTCCGGAAAACCTGGAGGCAACATCCATTATTTAATATTAGGTACTAAACATGTTTGAGTAACAATAATTCTTGTTTTTAGTGATACAATAAAAACTTGTTTCAGATAATTAGCCTATATTTTAAATTAAGTTAAATACTTCAAAAATATAGGACCACTCTAAAAACAGGTGACATCATCAACATTAAAATTGAATTAAGTTCAAGTAAAATTATCTTATCGTAAGTGAACTTAGAAACTATTTATTTATATTTAAGTATAGATTATTTTTTGGACTTTTTATAGTCTTTAATGTGTAAACTCATGGTACAGTAAAAGGAAAATACATAGGTGTGCTATTCCCGTCATATTCTGACGACACTCGGATTGCAAACAAAAGATCACCTGATTGTAACTTAACTGTCAAATTAGTATGCATTTGTTTTGATTTGATTGTTATTGTTTTTTTAAGGTTTTCCAAATAGTTGAATGTGTTCATTATAAAAACAATAACAACAAAATCAAAACAAATACATAGCCTATACTAATTTGACTGGTACAATCAGGTGATCTTTTGCTTGCAATCCGAGTGACGTCAGAATATGAGGGGAATAGCACACCTATGTATTTTCCTTCCACTATGGTATAAACTTAAACTTATTATATATGTTGAATCTATTTCAAGCATCTAAGTTATATCAGATTATTCTTAAGACAGAGGTACGGTATGTGAGAAATATTATATCATAGAACATTATATTAGGCCTATTCTAATTAAAAAAGTTGTTAATCAGTTTACAAAAAATATAATTATTGACATGGGTGCTAAGTTAATCATCTCATATATAGCCTAAGTTATCTCAGATTTAGGTTAAGTTAACTTACTTAATGGCACTTGGTTCCTTTAAATATGCAGGTACGGGTAACTTATCACCATTGATAAGTTACCTAAGTATGTTAATAAATACATAAGATAGCTTAACCAAAACCTTTTTATCAGATGTTTTATCTTTAAGATCGAAATGTTTGTTTCACAACAACATTTCACATTTTGTTAGCCTAGATAACATTTCAAATAAAAGCATTATAGATTATTTTGATTAAAAAATTAATTAAAATATTGAACAAAATGATGTTCATTGCATTGTCACCCATTTGTAAGCTGAAATGTTTCAAGTTTCAAGTCTCTAAGTTCATCGGGAAGCTAAAAGTTACGGTAGTTTAAAATCAGTTGCAAAAGTTGTAGCTAAAAGACAAGAAGCGAGCTAATAACATTTTAGACCTATACCGGTACACTTAGGCCTATTTTTAAATATTAGGCTATATACGAATTTGAACAGATGGTGTTAAACTTATTGGCTTCGGGAACATTGAAATAAAAAAGTAACGTAGGTAAGTAAGTAACTTATGTCGATCCAGGGTCTGCGTCTTACCATGAGACCAGAACAGTAAGTAAGGTAACTTCTAAGGCCTAACTTACCGGTAACTAACTTACTTAATAACTTAAGTTAGCTGAGCCTTTATTCTCTATAACTTAGGCCTTAGTTTAACTTAAGTGTAGGGTTGGGGAAATTCACTAAAAACAACATTAAGTTAAGTTTAAGTACGGTAACTTAAACTTAACTTAGGCCTAACTTACCGTAAAGATAAGTAGCCTATAAAAATAGGTTGGGTCCCGTAGGCCTAGGCCTATTCTTAAAAAAGTAAAATTCTAATCCAGCACTTAGGCTAACTTAAAAAACCCAAAAATTTAAATTAAAGCTAACCAGACCCAATAAGTAGGCTATAAGTTATAGGCGAAAGGGCCTAACTTATAGCCTATATTGAACAGAGCAATAACCGCCAATAAGTAGGCCTAATAGGTTTATTACAGAGACTAAGTACCTCCGTCAAATAGTCCAACGATTAACTTAAGTTAATAAGTTATTGCTCATATCATTAACATAATTTTTAATCATTTAATATTGCTCATTGAAAACATTTTCAAAGCTTGCAACTCATCAAAAACACAATCACTTTTGCAACAAAATATGTAAGCTGATGAGCAATTAAGGTAAGTACTTGTTAAGCCTTGTCGTTGGACTATTTGATGGAGGTATCCTATGCAAAAAACCTGTTAACTAAAGTAGGCTAACTTATTTTGTAACAATGTTTCTGGTTCAGGGGCCAGAAACATGAATTTTGATAATCATCGACAATCAAACCTATAAGATAACTTTAAGTTAGGCCTACTTAACTTAAACTTATAAACTGCCTATCCGCCTATAGGCTAAGTGTAAGTTGAGACAGATGGGATGATTAGGCTACCTACTTGATATGCTATGGACAGCCTAGCCTCCATTAAAAAAAAATTAAAGTAGGCTTAACTTAAGTTAAACTTGGGCCTGAAATATGACAGTTTGCAAATTTACGACACAATTGGTAAGTTAGGCTAGAGCCTAGGCAAATTCAATTAGCTAAGTACCTACTCACCAGTTCCACATCCTCTGTTGTGACGGTGGCAGAACATCCTGTCAACATCAGGGTCCTGTGATCTGAAGAGCTAGTGGCCACGAGATGCCCAAGGTACTTCCCATCTTGGATGAGTCTGTAGCCGTTGAGGGCTTTGATGGCTCTAACCGCACTATCCGGGGTTAGGTATTTTACAAAGCCGTAACCCTTATTGACGTTCAAAAAGTCCACCATTACCCGTAACTCAAAAACTACACCCGCTTCTTCACAGATTCTCAAGAGTTCCCGGTGTGAAAATTCAGTTGGTATTCTTGCTAGGAATAATTCGGACCCGTGACGAGGGGAGAAAGCTTTGAACGCTTCATTTGGCCCGTACAATCGGCAACCGTTGATTTGTCGACTCGGAAATCTTTCGGCAGCGGAAGGGACGTCTGATGGCGAATCCATAATTAAAAAAAGAAATGAAAAATGCCGCTTGCTAAACAAAAGTACTTTCACCACACGCGACACGCGGTACGGTTTCAAGGACGGATACCAGTAAAGTGAAATGGCCGATTTACTGTCTAGTGTCCGTTAGCCCGATTAGCCGTTATAATTCAAAATTTAGAAGAAAAGAAGGCATTAGGAAAAACAAAGAATAATAAAGTTAATCTTATTGCTAGTTAAAATCAGATTGCCGTTGTGCATGATTAATTCATCAACTTATATTCATGTAATATTGAATAGGTTGTTATTTTAGTGTAGGGTGGGTAACAATTAGACAAATTTTAATGTTGCTTTCGTTAAATGAACTTTCTCTTTCGGGAACTGATAAGGACCCGTCAAAGGTGGTTTGAAAAAAATGTCTTAAGTGATCAATTCTTTGTATATCCAACCATATAACTAAACATGGCTTGAATAATCATCGATTTATGAATTCGATGAGTTTGTTGTTATTAAATAATATAATTTCATTCAAAATGCTTTTTAACACACTTTCCTGACAATTGAAATAAAAGACTATAATGACTATTGCAACATAGTAATAACTTAGTCCATTTTCGCGAATTTCCCCTATGGTATAGGAAATAAGCTATTACCGACTCATGGTAAGACCTGGAATCGGGACCGATTTACTTTTTCGTTTTGAGGTCTTTAGAGACCAAAAACACCATCCGTTCAAATATACATATGTATAAATATATAAATATGTATATGTGTGTGTGTGTGTGTGTCCGTTAGCGCGATAACTCGAGCAAAAATCATCCGATTTTGATAAAATTTGGTACAGACATGTAAAACTAAGATTATTAAAACCAGTTTGCGAACCAGCGTGATCAGATTATGGGAACAGGGGCTTATGGAGGTTTTTATGGGGGTAAAAATTGGGTTTTCCCATTTTTGACCTTAAAACATGAAATTCAGTAAATTCTTTCCAAACCATGTTGTAGAGCTTAAAAAAAATTAGTGTATTGGAGCATTATTATGCGCCTAATGGTTACGGAGAAAATTACAAAAATCTGCAAATTTTAAATTCCCGTATTATTCTTATGGAGAATAAGTAAACCGTTGTAGTTTGCTTGTTTAATAACATATTTTGATCAAATTTGGAAAATGCATTAATTTCATACTAAACTATTACATTATACAAACAAATATTTCTTTACCCTCCCTGTTGCAGCAAACCTAAGTACGGTACTCGTTAAACTAATGTTATTTAAATAGGGAATAAATGTGATATATTTAAGGAGAAATTTTATTGTAAATCAAGTCAGAATAATCGAAATTCGCTTAGTCTGCAGCTTTGCTGCGTCGGGGGTATTATTATTTTTAGAGGCTATCTATCTGAGCTTATTTAAGATTCCGAAAGTATTATGTCTTTCCTTTTTATTATATGCCCCACCTTCACATCATACACATCCTAGGACGCTAGGTTAGCCTGGAACTGTTTTAAACATCACTTGAGGCTGGTTCTTGGAGTTTTGCGGCATTAGTGCATCAACACGTAGATAAAATCCAAGGCAATTGGCGGGATTTGAGCCCGGGGCCTCGGGCTCCAAAGCCATGCGCTCTACCACTAGACCAGATTACTGTCGCTCCCCCAGCTCTCCCCTTAACAATGGTCGTTGTTCGGTTCGGGGGCAGACCTCTCTACTAATTAAGCCACCCGCTCCTTTGTAATTGTATTTTTTGTATTTAGTTTTCTTTTAAATTAAACTGAGATAAGGTGTTTAATGTTTATGTTAATTGTAATAACTGAGTATATACCACAAATACTTGGTATATACTCAGTTCAGTAAAAAATCGAGTGTCTGGATAGTGGAAGTGAATACTATGTAAGGTTGTATATTTTACATTTATATTTGTTTATTTTTGTAATTGTATATTTTGATTTGACCTTGTACTCTACATCTATTGTACTCTTCCTTGACAAATGTTTACCAACATAATACTTCATTGACCATTCCACATGCATTTGTAATGTCTATTGGAAAATAAAGCTTTGATTTGATTTGATATGTATGTGGACCGTTAAATTGATGCTTATTGTGCTCCTGTAAGTGAATCGATACAATTAGGCTGCAATAAAATAGTGAAAGTGAAAGGAGTGTTCGGATAACTACTGTCTGTGTTTTTTAATCCGTATTTCGCATTTCCTGGTAAAAATTAAATAGCCTTATTAAATCTAGGTATCTTTTATCTTTGGTTGATAGCATTTGAATACATTTTTGCGATGTTACTTTCTCCCTACACACATAGTAGGGTGAGTGGAGAAAGTATGACTGTTTTTATCAACATTTTCGAGTTTGGGCGTTGGCAGACCTTATTAGTATAGGATTCGATTCGGGCTGGTTAGAACTTAGAAGCGTTAGAACTAGAACAGGTTGAGAGTTTGAGTTTACCTCATTTGTCATTTCATTTTTTGTTTATGTTTATGACGATCCATCATAAAGCTAACCGTGAATCGTGATCCGTTCTAGTAAGTTATTCGTGTTCGTGGCATGTATGTTTGAATTTATTTGAATGTTTATTAAGTTAAAGTTTTAGAGTACCGACGTTTATTAAAGTTTTAGATTACTGACTACACCTCCTCTCCTGTGGTCCGACTTTGAAGAAATTTGGTATTTGGATTAATGGTAGGCCTAGCTCTAGACGGATTTTGTACCCTTTACACTTTAAATACCGGTACTTAAATTCTTTTAATTGAAATGGCGACCATACAAAGTTTTATTAGCTTAGCTAGGACCAAAGCGAATAACCACAATGGACAGCTTAGGTCCAGTTTCAAACCATCAAACAGTCATTAACTTTTCCCAGGATTGAACCAGCGGTTTTTTTATTTCTAGGTGAGCACTATAATAGCTCAATCACTCACCTACACTATATATTAGGTTACAGTAGGCCTAATAAGTTATGCTTATCACTTAAATTGCATTATAGGCTAATATGTGGCACACCTTTAAGGTAACTTATATTATGTTTTTAGGCCTAATTGAAATGGTTGTAGGAGTGGGTGAATTGTCTTCATTGTAGGAAAACTAAATATTTATCAAGGGTGATTTATTACCACCTCAATTCTAGAGATTTTCAGCTAAGTAAATATTAGATCACTAGTGAATTATTGTTAATAACCTTTTAGTAAGTTAAGTAATAATACTTTTTTTCCACTGTTTGGCACTCGTAAACCGGTTTCATAATTTGTTTGGACAGAAGTTACTTAAGTTATGATGTTAATGTTATTAATTTGTTATTTGTTACATTTATTTCTAATTATTTATTTACGGTAACTATTTTCATGTAGCCTATGCCTGGTAGCTTGCTAAGTTAGTACATTTTGTTTAGCCTATGTTATGTCAATCCTTATATATACCAATACGTGAAGGCGATTTCTACGAAACACTACTCCTCCGTTAATAATGGACGGATTTTTACAAACGATGTGTCAAAATGAAGTATTGTTTGAGTAGATGCCTTCTTTCACCAATTCCTGTAATAAAAGTCCTCGGTCACAAAATCCCACAGGCCATAAAAATCCCGAATTTCTTATGAAGAAAAGATTTTGTTTACTTAAACAGACGAATAATTTGTATTAATAGCTGTTCATAGTAAACACATGATACACACAAAAGCGTTCGTTTTCAGTTTCGTTAAGTTAACTGGAGTGGAGGGATTGGTTACATTAAGTTATCCTTTAGTTGACTCTCTCAGTCATCAGAAATTGTGACTGCTATTCGTTTGAAAATAACGCCCAACTTTGCAATTGCTCGAATTCGAGCAACAGGTGCACTAGTAATCCTTATAATACGTGAAGGCGATTTCTACGAAACACTACTCCTCCATTAATAATTGACAGATTTTTACAAACAAGGTGTTGAAATTAAATATTTTTTGTGTAGACGCCCCATTTCACAAATTCACACAAGTTGGAATGAAATAAATAAGAGTGAAAATTTAAAAACGTACGTTTTCAGGAAAAGCACTTTGCAAAATTTTTTCCCCTTTTTTCTAAACTTTTATTATTTTTTTTTTATTTCATGAACACGTTAGCTGCCGCGCCGGTCCGGTCGGGTCGGCATGACCAGGTCGGATGGAATGACATGCCGACCCGATCGGGTCGACACCTCAGGAATCCAAGGTTTCACTTTTTGGCCGATAGATGGCCCTCACTGACATCTAGCGGCGATCAAGCATACTACAACAGTAGAGTATATCCCATTCCTACTAGATAGGGTTGATTGAAGTTTCTGATGATTCTACATATGGTTCAAACAAAAACGTTAACATGGTCAAAATGTGACGACCCGATCGGGTCGGCGTGGTTGTTTTAGATGGTTTCAGCATTACTTAAGATTGAAAAATGGCAATTTCGTGTAAAATAATAAAATAAGAAATTTTTTACAATTTGTTTTACTTTATGTATCATTGTAATCATTACTAAGAATAAGAATACTAATAGATAGCTTGTATTATTTTTTATGTTGATAAAATTGTAAACAAAATGTTTATTCTAAAGTTGTTGCTGGGTTTGAAATAAAAAAAGTATTTACAGAACAATCTTATTTATTGTCTCAGTACATTAGTTGATAAAAAAACTAAACATTTTTATTATAAATTTTTCGTTTCTGAAAGTATACTGCTGAAAAAATAAATTTGTAAAAGAATAAAAATGTATTACTTAGATTCAAAATATATAAAACAGTGTCGTTACAGTTACCTTCTTGTTTTCTTGTGTCTTTAGTCTCTTTGTGAATGTTCATAAAACAGTTCTTACATAAGTAAGGCTTATCGGGGCACTCATTGCAAGTGAGTTTATGAGGGAAAGTGTGGTATTGCCATCTGCGCAAAGCAATAGAATGGTTGTAGACTACGTCAATATGACTAGAAATCATAAACGTGATGGTCAGAGACAAGCGGTACGGTCGTGAATTGTCTGGAATAATCTAAATCTTTCTAAACAATCCTTCAATTATACTGTTAGTTATAATAAAACTATGTGTTTCAATTGAACTAAACTGTTCAATTTACAATTATATTAAAGTTATTGTCACGACCAAACACACTATAATCCATAAGGCTGGATTGGTCGTGAAAAAAACCGCGATGGTCATGAAACTTTGGTCGTGAAATTATGTGTTATTTGGCTCTGTTCTGGCAGTAGCCCTGCACCTCATGTTCGAGGATACAAAGTGGACTTCTAGATTAATCTAGCAATTGAAATATCTTATAAACAAAAATTAACACCATGTCTACTTCATCGAATGACTACGTACGGTCATGGACACACCAAAATTACAAAAAACACAATCTTTCCTTTATTAATCTTGTAACTCCTCCTTTCAACTCAAAACGACCGGCACTACAATCCTGATGTACACCCCGAACTAGTCTCTAAAACCAACTGACTTCATCGATGCCAGGCTTGCCACTGTCGTGCTCCAAAGTTGAAAACTTTTCCCAAATGGTCGTGACGCCAAATCGAGGGACAGACTTATTTTGTCACGGTAGTCAGTCTGCAATGACAATAAAATTATAATATGCTCCTTTTTTGTAAGTTTAATAACCATTGATGACATAAACATATGGCTTTATATATTTCGGCATGAATAATTAGTCTAAAAACAGCGTGAAAGTTGGAAAATGTACCCTAGGGACACGTCATGGTCGTGAATTTCGAGACTTTAAAAATACGAAAAAAAATACCTAGAACCTATTTAAAACCAAATAAATGTGTGTAACATGTTGCCCCCGTCCCAAAAAATATTAAAACACATAATAATAAACTACAAATCCAGTATCCACGAAGTAAAAGTCCAGGGACATGAAAACATACGTTTTTAAATTTTCACTCAGAAACAAAATAAATAAATAAGTAGGCCTAAATTAAATTAAGATTTATTTCTTGAAAATATTAACACAGCTTAGATATTGAGAAACCCTTAAGAATATTCTACCAATTTGAAAGATTCAAATGTCCAAATTGCCAACATATACACACTGTTGTATCTTTTATGACACTGTTACCATTTTTAATCTGTACCTAGAGCATTTTTAAAACAGTTTTTTGTGCTTAGCCTATAAATACAGTCTTTAGTGGAGAAAAGAAAGAATTTCCCAGAGACTTGAATGAACGAGGTGGAATAGTAGCTCTCTGGTTTTTGATCAGGTAAGTTATTCTGATTCTATGAATTAATTACAAGTTCTCTTAGTTTTGCTAGTACCGGTACGTGCACACCAATACATAAAGTACAATTACTGTATTCAGTAGGCCTAAAACTTAACTTATTTCTTATTCTAAACCAAACATAGTTTAAGTTAGCCTACACTGTATGTTGGAGCAATATGGTTCGGTACACAAAGTTTGAAGAGAGTTCAAAAGTCCAGTAGGTATTCAAAGACATTGCGTATTAATTATTATTTAAAACTGCAAATGAAGTGAATCGGTAAGTAGTATTAGTGTAACACAACGGTTCTCAAACTTTTTGGCCTGGTGACCCACCACAACCTAATTTTTGCAACCCATATCTATATTAGCGAATTTTTCATATAGGGAATAAGCTATTGCCATAGTACTCATGGTAAGACCTGGACCTGGGACCGATTTACTTTTCCGTTTTGAGGTCCCTGAGAGGCCAAAAACACAATCCGTTCAGATTCATATACATAATATATACATATATTATTAAGTCAATTAAAATACCAAAGTTCGCGAACCAGTATGATCAGAACATGGGAATGGGGATTTATGGGGGGGTTATATGGGGGTACAAATGGGGTTTTCCCACTTTGGTCCCTGAAAACAAAAAAAATTGCAATTTATTTTTAAACCATTTTGTAGGGCTTAAAAAAAGAAATAATTTAGTATATTGAAGCGCTGTTGTATGCCCAACGGTCATGAAAAAAACTCAAGAAAAGTTTAATTTAAAGTTCCCATGTTATTCTTATGGAGAAAATTAAAACTGTTGTAGTTTACATGTTTATGGATATATATCGATACAATTTGGCAAATTTATTTATTTCATCCTATACCATTGACGTATGGTCAAAAAACACTTTTTACCTTCTCCGTATCGGCAAACCTAAGCACTCATAATATCTAAATGTTTTTTAAATCGGGAATAAATATGTCTTATTTATGGAAATATTTTAGTAAAATTGTAATCAGAAAAGTTGAAATTCTCTTAGTCTGCAGGTTTGCTGCGGCGGGGGTATTTATAAGTAATGGATGTTCATTAAGAAGCCTTTTGTGAATTTTTTCAGATATACAAGCTATTTTTTTTCTAGGCACGAGCTTGGGATTTTTCACATAACTTCAGACTAGACCTAACTTAGGGGATGCGGCATTATCACTTAGATAGGTAAAATCCATTGGTGATTTGGCGGGATTTGAACCCAGGACTGAAGTCCCGCGCTCTAACCACTACACCAGCTCTCGCTCCCTTATTCAAGCTATTACTGCAGCTAACAGTAAGTTAACATTCTCAATTTAGGCTTCGGGAGGTCGTTAAAATTTTTCTTGAATGAACGACCTGACTAGTCTGTCTGATAAAATTTCAGTCCCTGCAGGATAGTTTGTATAGGTACACCTACTCTAGAAGCTATTAGATTCTGTCAATATGTATCTAGATAGATTTAGGTGACTTATTTAATTGAAGCTTTGCATGATGGGGTGTAACCTTGGTCCCGGCACATCAACCATATAGCTTATTGTGCATGTCCCACTTGCTACTGACTAAGTAACTTAAGCATATACCCGTGTCCTTATCCATGTTATAATATTTCAGATCATAAAACACCAAAACTTGACTTTTTGAGGTTAAATATTTTAAACAATTGACTTACTATAAATGTATTTTTTATATTTTGATTTACCTCCCGGGGGGGGGGGGGGGGGATTACAAAACATTCAAATTGAATATGCAATTTCAATCCTTAACTCATATACTTAAGTCATGCAAGCTTATTATTTGTCAAATGGTTCAAGTCATTCTTAGTTGATACCAAGGCAAATGATTCATGCAGAATTTGGCCTAATTTTTGTTACACCTTGCTATTATAGTACCAATCTTAACTAGGCCTAATTAGTTACATTGTTCTTCCCCAGTTTTGAAAAATGTACAATCTCTTTGGCCTCTTAGTTTGGCTTAGGTTGAATATATTTATAATCATAAGGAAAAGAAGACAGAAACACAAAATATCTATAGATAAAGTTTTATTGTACATCTACATATACATGATCTTAAATACAATGGCACTCCTCAGGCATTAACAGGTGAAAGTGCAAATCAGTTAAAAATAACATTTTTCTCATCTAATTTACCTTTGAAAATCAATTATCTCCAAATCAATGGTAAACAATAATATTCATCTAGAACTAATAAAACATAAACGGTGAATTCACATTTTAATACTGGTAGCAGAGTTTTTTGATGTTAATGTTCTCTAAGTAGCCTAACCCTAATATAAGTTTTTAATATATGTATTAATTATAAGTTTAAGTACCTTTTGGTTGGCTGATAAACTATATTTACAAAGTCAAACGTCATCAACACTCTAAAAAAGCATTTTTATAATACTAGCCTAAATGACTAAAAGTACTGTCAGCAGCACAATATTATGACACGTGTTAGTTTATAGGCCTACATAAAAAATGTTTAAGAATTAATTAGGTGACTTTTAAATGTCAGGTATCAAACTTTAACTGTTGTCTACATAAAACACAATCTACGTTGGTAATTTAATGTAAGATTATACAGAAGTGTTTTTAGTTGATGCAGTAATTGGTATTCAGGATGGATAGCTGTATTATTGCAGGTTTTTCACCATTTCAACGTTGTAGACGTACAGTAATTAAATATCAATGATACAAAATGAGGGATTTTTGGAAAGTCAAAAATTTAGGTCTTGGTTTAGTTTGGTTTTGCAATATTATGCGACTTAACAATAAAAAGTATAGTCATATCATGATAATGACTATTACATAATAGGCGGAAAAAGTCTAAATTGTCTTTCACATTTGTTATGTTTATTAAAAAAGTCGTATAATATTGCACAACTAAACTAAACCATGACCGAAATTTGTAACTTTCCAAAAATACCTCATTTTGTAACTTAGATATTCAATTTATTATGTGTTCCTACATTAAATATTTTCATGATGGATTCGTATAAAACATACTTATGCTTTCAAACTTTCATGAAAGTATTAACGAACACGACATGTGGTTTGTTTGTTCTACGATAACATAACTTTGAATTTTCACGCACCACATAGGGAGTGGTTGATACTGCATACAATTGACACATTTATGCCTAACCAGCTAACCTAACTCTAACTTGGCTAAGTTCTACTTTTGATTGTTGTATTTTGTAACTGAAAAGCTACAACTACATCTTGAATCTAGTACACTTTTCTTATAGTTAGTGATTACAATTTACAAATTTTCTCTTAATAATAACTAGTTGTATCTTTTAACAAAAAATCCATGGATTGCAATTTCTTTTTTACAGTTTTAGATAGGCCTAATACCTGATAGCATAGGCGTATCTACTAATTAAATGTATTAATTTTACAATATGAAATATAAGTTTATAAATATTATAGATTTTCTTAATAAATGGTGGCTTTTAACAGGAATTAGTAATTTTATAAGCACACTCTTGGTGGCTAAATTCAAATACTTAATTTATATTCGTAAACTAGTTACAACTTTAACACGGGAATAGAATGTCTAGTTCTATCTTTAATCATACTTTTGCCTCCATTGGAAGGTTTAATGGTTGACTTTGACATAGCTGTATTGGTTGCTGTAGTCGTCTCCCATCTCCACCATGTTAGACATGAGGTAGTGATCAGTGACGACGAAGGTGCGGTACTTGACAGGCACGGGGCTTGTGAGCTGTGAGGGGGTAGGGGTGATAGGCCTGTGAGCAGGGGTGCGGGGGACTAGACGAGCCCCCCACTCCGACCATCATGGACTCTTGAAGCTCAACTGGAGACTGGATGAGGAACCGCTAGAACTGCGATGGTCACATCTGGAACATGTTGAATTAGTTTGTTTTTCCTATTTCCAACTATGGCATATTTTGTATGACGTTAGGGATCAAACCAAACCATTGTCTTATTATGTAGAACATCGCCCTTTTGTTAGATTGTGTAATTAATGGATAAACCAATGACAAGTGGCATCTGATACCAACAACCCTCAGATTTGAAGGTGGGGCACTATAACCCCTTTGAAGACAGTTAAAATCGTAAACACTTCTTCCCATTTAAATAATTGTATATTAGCAGAGCAAATTTATAAAGACTGGTATGAATAAATTCAATGAATAATCGACAATCACATCCAAAATAATTTAATTCCAACAAATATCCTATGGCTTTATTACAAAATGTGGTACGTTTAACCACACAGTACTGCCATTTTAATTCCACTGAAATAATATGTCTAAACTAATTAACTAACTTGTAATATTTTCCAAGCTCTCCAATAACGATTATGGCCCCTGTTCGGGCGCCATAAAAGTAGTCCTATGACATAATTTTGGTGTATGAGAACCAATAAATTATAATATCGTCATACAATGTATTTTCCTGTTCAGCTCCCCATGAAATGTGGTGAAAAGTTTACCGAGGGAACACAACAAATTATATTACCGTACTTTTCGTCAATACATAATAGTAATTTCTAACCCAAAATTAGTCACACTTTAAATTTGCCCAGATAACTATAGCCTAAAATGAGATAGTCAGAGATTCTTAAGTGTTTGTACCAATTGAGTTTATAAATTCAATTACACCATCTGGAATGCCACTACACAAATTAGTTTTAAAAGTTGGTTCAATAGTGATGCTCATAAGAAATAGGGTCTGGATTAGTTAATGGAGTACGATTGGTTGTGTTGGGTATGTCTGAAAAAAGTGTAAAGTTAGTAGTAATTACTGGAGTAGGGAAAGGGAACATATTTTTCATGCCAAAAATAAAACTAATATCTACAGATCCTAATATGCCCTTTAAATTTACAAAGGATTCAATTCCCATTGCGATTATCTTTCACCATTACTATAAATAAAGCGCAAGGCCAAACCTTCCCAAAAGTTGGAATTTATTTGAAAAAAAAAAAACAGTGTTTACCCATGGTCAACTTTATGTTGCTTTTAGCCGGGTAAAGCGGCCAGATGACGTTAAAATAGAAATAGAAACAAATAAAGACCAAGTAATGGACCAAAATGGATACTACACAACAAATGTTGTTTTCAGAGAGATTTTGTTACAGAATTAGTATTTTACAATTTGGAAGATGACATTATCTCTATGTGTTGTGTTTTTCTAAGTGAATTTGTCTATATTTAAAAAAAATGTATATATATTTAATTAATAGTGAAGATTATTGAAAATGTTCTTTTGCTGTATTATGATTAGAAAATTTATGTTACAAACCCCCCACATGAAGAGTCCTTTTGAATTTTTATCCTAAACAGAGCAGACATAAAAATGAATTATGCAGGTATGTGATAACTGTTATACATTATTATAATATACAAAAAATTTAAACGATAATTCAAGGTAGGGTACGGTAACCCATGAGACAAATAATTTGTACAAAATAATTATTAGAATATATTACATATACTGTATATAGGGGCTATTGCCCCTACAAGCCACTAGTTAATTATAACAATGCTAACAACTATATTAGCTTACTTTTAGAATGTGATCGTCATAGCCACTCAAAAATTTCAAATTTGGAAGAATAATACCATGCCAATAAAAAATTTTATAGAATAATCTTTTGAGCTTTAATAAAGTGAGAATTGCTCGTCGTACTTGGTTAACACCAAAGTAAAACGTGTCCTAATATTAACTCAATCAATTGCCAGAGTCGTTTGTAGCTAATTTTTGCTTGAATTTGGAATAATAAAACGTTTATAGCAATTAGTAACCACAAAACAAAATTTTTATTTGTGTGCGCAGAATCCTGCTTTGAACATCGAAAAAAATACAAAATATAACTTCAAATATATTAAACGTACCTTAACGACCTATAAAAAGATGAAGTAGAGCGATATTGTGTTGCTCTACAATTTCTAGTGTATGGATTGTTTCAAGGTTTTTAATATCGGCAATCCCAAAAATATTGTTGCAAGGGAGATTGTGTAGCGACGTTTGGTGGCTGACTGACAACTGACTGCTCGGGTCCCTCCTCAAGCAGCACTCCCATTCCACCCCTGGTCAAGAACTACGTTCATTCCCTCAACAATGACGTTACCACATTCAGCGTTAGCTGCGGCCTTTGTGTGAACCAAATCAACCTATTTAAGATGACCGTAAAAATATTACCCCCAATAATATTATTAATATTTGACCTGTTACAACGGTATCAACAATCTAACACATACTTTCTCCCATTAGCTGTGTCAACAACCGTTATCATAGGCAAAGGGTAGGAGTAACTTTTATATTTTATGGGAAATTCAGGAAAGTTGCAATAACTTTTGAACCGTATTTTTTACAGCATTGAGGGGGCAGTCTTACCATTTTGTTAAGAGTTAAAAGATCATAATATTCTAAAATGTAATCTGATTTTCCGTTTTTATGGTTTTAGCAAATTTCCCTATAGGGAAGTAGCAATTACCGTAGGTGGCACTGTAAGACCTAGGCCCGGGACTGATTAACTTTTTCATTTTGATGTCCCCAGAGGCCAAAAAAACCATTGGTTCAAATTTTTATGTATGTATATATATATTTTGTTATTATATACACCGATGAGATGTTATTAAGTAAATTAAAATACCAAAGTACCCTAAAATTTTTTTATTTTACATATCAACAAAACAGGTCGAACATTCGAAGTCAGATACAAAGAGCATATACACTATACTATTAAGTACTAATAGTATAGTGTATAAGATCAAAAAACATGACAACGCAAAAATCCTCGTATGCCGACCATACATTCTCAGATATAAATAAAAATATGTATATTCTAGATGTTGAAAATAAAGGCAAAAAAATGAATGCAAAAGAAGACTTTTATATTTATAGACATCACACTACTGACAAAGACAATTTACTAAACTTGACACATACTCAAAACCAAAACGTCGTATTTAATCAAATTATGGCATGAATGGCCGAAACACGTTTAAGTAATATAAAATAAAATGTTTTTAGGGTATTTTAGTATTTTAATTTACTTAATAATATACATATATTTACAGAGAGAGAGAGAGAGAGAGAGAGTTATATATGTGACCGTGAACGTGATAACTCGAGCAATTATTCTCAGATTTTGATGAAATTTGGTTTAAGGATTGGCGGGATAAACTTGTATGAGCTTGCGAACCAGCATGATCAGACCATGGGAACGGGGTTTTTTGAGGGGTTTTATGGGGTAAAAATTGGGTTTTCTCATTTTTCACCCTCAAAAAACAACATTTTCCAATTTGTCTCTAGATTTTTTAAAGAGCTTAAAATCAAATAAGTGTATCAAAGTGTTTTGTACGGTTATTGGTAACGGAAAAAATTCATATTATTCTTATGGAGAATCCTTATATATAATACGTGAAGGCGATTTCTACGAAACACTACTCCTCCGTTAATAATAGACGGATTTTTACAAACGACATGTCAAAATAAAGTATTTTTTGTGTAGACGCCCCCTTTCACCATCAAAGTTGGAGTTTCTCCCATAAGATTAGCATGGGGGAAACAAAATATTTAATTGGAAACTTTGTCCCCACTAATTTGAGAGAACGGCTGGGCGTAGAATCTTGGTAGAGGTGTCCAAAGAAAGGTATGGTCTGTAGATGAGTTATCAAAAGAAAAACTAAGCAAAATCCCTTAGGATTCTGCCCCAGAACCCTTTAAAGATCCCTCCACAGAGTTGTTTACATTTTGGCCATGTGAATAATACTTTTTAATGAAACAGCCAGTGGCGGTTCTGGGACCTTGTCAAGGGGGGGGGCTACCAGGGGGCTTGGGGGGTGTGGAGCACCCCACAATAAAGCAGGGGAGTCCGGGTCCTCCCCTGGGAAAATTTGGAATGTTCAAAGCCGTTTGGTGACTTTCTAAAGCCACTTTTAACACCTAGAAGCGTGCCCAATTGTCCATAAACTCCCATTTCACCTGTTGTTTGTCATGAGCAAATAGACATAATAAAAATTAAACTATGACGATTGCATTCATGAATTTCAAAACATACTGTAGACTACGGCCATATCCTCCTAAAAGCCGTTGGGTGACTTTCTACAGCCAGTTTTAACGTCTAGAACTGTGTGCAAAACCTCCCATTTTCCCATTTATTTGTCATGAATAAGCAGACATTTTTAAAACTAACTATGAAAATTGCATTCATAAATCTCAAAACATATTGTAGGCTACGGCCATATCCCCCTAAGAGTTGCTTATTAACTTTCTAAAGCCATTATTAATGTCTACATCTGTACAAAAACCTCCCATTTTTCACCGGTTATTTGTCTTTGTCAAGAGCAAGTAGACATTTTAAAAATCAAACTATGACGAATTTCATAAATTTCAAAACATAGGCCTACTGTAGATTAATAAAGTCATATCTCCTAAAAGCCGTTTGGTGACTTTATAAAGCCATTTCTAACGTCTAGAACTGTGCCCAATTGTTCTAAAACCTTCCATTTCACCTGTTATATGTCACAAAAAGCAAGTAGGCAGACGCGTTCTTTAATCTTAAGTTTTTCTCCATTTCATAGATCTGTCACAATTGTATAGTATCGAATTCAGTAATAGCATTGACTATATAAACTTTAACACTAGCTTAGTCAATGGTAATAGGCTACTGACTACTGGTGCTACCGCTGATTGCTGATTGATGCCTGTGTAAAGTTAGTGGCTAGCAGACAATTTGACAACTAACTATGGGACACCAGGAAATCGGCTGTTTCCCCGTCCTCGCTCGCGCGCTAGATGCTCCTGCCTTGGCCCTAGCATGTCAACCGCTGACTCCTGTAAAAATATGATCATGCGTACAACTTTCCATAGCGTAATTTTGTTTTATTCGTTGTACTATATTGTCCACAAAGTTTGTCTATGAGGAACTTAATACTGCTCCTGCCATCGCTTTTTTATTAAGTATAATAAAAACTACATTGATGTCTGTATGACATTGCGTGTTTTAAGGACGAAATGCACGTTTAAATTTATTTTTTTCAGGGTCCAAGGGGGGGGCTTACATACTTAGGTTTGCTGCAACAGGGAGGGTAAAAGTGTTTTTTATGTAAGATGTTAATAGTTAGTAAGAAATAAAAACATTTTCCAAATTTGGGCAAAATATGTTTATAAACAAGCAAACTACAACAGTTTACTTATTCTCCATAAGAATAACATGGGAATTTTAAATTTACAATTTTTTGGAATTTTCTCCGTAACCATTAGGCGCATTATAACGCTTCAATATACTAAATTATTTGTTTTTTTAAGCTCTACAAAATAGTTTCGAAAGAAATTGCAAAACTTGATGTTTTTTGGGTAAAAAATGGGAAAACCCCATTTTTACCCCATAAACGCCCCCATAAACCCCAGTTCCCATGGTCCGATCATGCTGGTTCGCGAACTCGTTCGAATAAACGTAGGTTTACACGTTTGTACCAAATTTCATCAAAATCGGACCATTTTTGCTCGAGTTATCGCGCTAACGGACACATATATATATATATATATATGAATTTGAACGGATGGTGTTTTTGACCTCTAGGGACCTCAAAACGAAAAAAAAATCGGTCCCGGGTCCAGGTCTTACCGTGAGTACTACAGTAATAGCTTATTCCCTATATGGGAAATTCGCTAAAACAAACTAACACATTTTGAAAGTATTCCACAACGTGGCCTATACATAGATGTTTAGATCCTACCTGGTATGCCTCAAAAGGTCTGTCAGCCTTCCTACGTTGATTCTGTAATTGATCTCGTCCTCGGGGACTTCGTCCAGATAAAAGTTTTGAAACCGTGAACTCAAGGACCAAACTAGGTTTCCGTAGACTTTAAGTCCACTTTGAAACTGAAGTGCGATGTCATCCTGAAACACACAACCGAGATACAGATTGAAAACTAATGGATTGATATTGGATCTTGCCAAGGCTTAGTTAGGATTTTAACAAGGGGAAACTAAGTTTATTTCTGAAAAAGTAACTTAGTGAACAAGGGTGGAGTATAAATAAAGTAAGGTGATGGTTTTGAATGACTCTCAATTTTTTTTTTGTTTTTAGCAATAATAGTTGAGTGAATGAAACTATGTATTGTGTAAAGGGCGGTCGGAGATTAGTTGTCCGACATGTGAGTGACTGTGTGACTGTGTTATGGTAACAAAAACTCAAGAACCGTTGCACTAATAGTGTTCAAATTTTGCAAAAATAATTATGACACCCTTTTCATTGAAGTCACACTTTTCATTGAATAAGTGACAAAAATATAGTTCTTTGATATTTGTAGATTAAACAATTCAGCAAAATGAGTTGAAAACTACTTATGTTTAATACTCTGGCACAAGAACTTGAAAAATATGAGTTAAGGTTGACTAGCACAAATTAAATCAACAGAGAGAAGTTTACGCAAGCTCAAGCTCATCAATCTTTTGGTAACGCTATTCAAAATAGCTGAGGAGACGCCAACAATTATTGTTGTTCCCTATTAGATCCAAGAAGGGCAACGTAAGAAACCTAAACCTCCATTACCTTTGCAATAACATCCAAGTTCTGCTTCCTGTAAGGCAGGTGAGAGTTCCAGCAGCCAATAGCATTGTCCCCCACCAAACTGTAGATAAGGACTCCACCATCCGTCATGTCCTGGAAGTAGAGTGTTTATAGAACTGAGTGTTAAGAAAACTTTTGGCAGACTTTTAAAAAGCTGTTGATTGAAATTCTAATATTCAAAGTTAAGAAATTAGTTTTAGACTTGTTCCATTATCCTTTGCTTGGATGTGAAATTGTAGGTTTCCTATTGACGTTTTGGGATTTGATGCTAACGTAACTACAGGGAGGTATTGCCAAAGTTTAACAATTTTGTGAATAGAAATAATTGCTCCTTCCCCATTCGGCAACAAAAGAATAAAAATAAACCCGAGCCTAAATTTATAAGTAAGCAACTAAAAGGAAAAAAAAATATTTAATACGCCTAGTTAACCTTCCGTTGGGCGCATTGATTTTCAAACACCAAAGGGCGCTCACGGAAGTTACCTCCGGGAGTACAAAAACTTATACAATGATGAGTAAAAAACATTTTAATAGCAATAAAAATGTAAGAAAATCATTTTTTTATGAGTTATTACACTATTGCTTAAGTTGTATATCAAGTAGAAAGTGTTATAATAAAAATCAAAATACGTAAGTATTGTGGATAAAAAAATATTTACTTTTTGTACTTATACAGTACTATCGTATATTAGAAAACAAAATTTTAATATTGTATGACATCAGTGGCGGCGATAAGAGCCCTCGGGTCCCCCCGCAAGTTTGTTCACCGGGCCCCCTCCCAATAATCTTAAAAAATGTTATATATAAAATATTTTATTACATGTATTACCGCCTAAACTTGCACTTTGGCTTGGTAGGGCGTCTCCTGAGGCGTCATCATCGTCTTCCATGATCGCGGCAAAATAACCTATGACATCATCAGATAACATTATCGTCTCCCAGGTCACGGCCCAATCCCTAATATCTTCCGCCCCGCGACCCGTGGTGACGGGGAAATAATTTGTTCCGCAATCGCGGCAAAATCCTAAATACATCTCGCTCGCAGAAAAACGTCAATAACGTCTTCCGCAATCCGGCAAAATATTGAACGTCTCTACGGCCGCAGAGACATCGTCATCGTCACCCGCGGGGAAATGTTCTCGTCGATATCCGCGATCGCGGCAAAAATGTAGGCCTAATCTTTCAATTTCGTGAGCATGATCCTCGCGGACATAAAAGCTTTAATTTTAATTGGGCATTATTGTACTGAGAAAATCGGCTTGAGCTTGATTTTCTGACTTTGTGCTTGATCTCTCAAGCTTATATACAGGCTCTGCTCGAGTGCTCGGCTCGAAAATCGACATTATATAAAAATCAACCGTTTCCAAAGCAAACCGATTTTGAACCGCTCTGATTTGGCCCGAGGCCTATAAGTAAGTAAAAATTTTTACCTGACTCGAAGTAAACAAATCTAAAGTGCAAAGTAAACAAATCTAAAGTGCAGCCTCCTAATAGTAAGAAGTGAAGTGAAATGAAAATCCTTCTTTAGCGTCAATGAAAGAATGGAATTATTTATTAGCTAGTGCATCAGGCACCTAGGTTAATTCGCCGATTTGATCGTAAAAAATTGTCAAGTTCATTAAGTTAAATCAGCATTGAGGGCCCTCTCTGGTGTGCCCCACCGGGGCCTAGGAGGATTAACATTAATGTTTTATCCTTGTAGGCCGGGGACACATTCTGGTTCTAAATACGGTCCTATTATAAATAGCGCCTTCACGCAATCCATGAGGACTTTGATGCAACCTGCATGACTGATGACAATTCTTTTACTTAGGTTGGTAGAAAGTTTATATCGATCGGCCAAATAATAGTGTAAGTTAAGCTGTTGTAAACTACTTGTCCTAGTGCTCTCACTGGGTTTAACAAATTTTCGGCATAAAAAAAACTCATGGTAATTTTCATATAAATATTGTTATGATAGGGGGTCCGTGTGGCTAATCCTGTCACACAATTGCGGGCCTGTGTCCCGGTAAAATTTCCCGAAAAATCCCAGTCAGGGCTCACGGGTCCCCATAGCTAGCGGGCACCCCCGCACCGCGGGCCCGCCGCCACTGTATGACATAAAAACATGTACATGGTCTAATAAAAAAAATAATTTTGTACAAGGACAACTCATTCAATCAAAGATAATTTTAACATGTTTATCCTCTGGATCACGTAATTTTTCAACCTGATCAGCTTGAAAATGAACCTTTAGGTTCGAAACCTGGGTCGCTGACCTAAATTCCAGGATCACTGACAAGTACTACAAGTATTTAACCTTTTTATTAGTAAAAGATAATTATTTCATAAGGACAACTTACTTTGTCACCATAAGTTCTTTCTACTGAATGTTGTTCCTTGTCTTCCCTTTCAACACTAGCCAACAATCTCGCAATTAGTTCTTCTTCATCCATTTCAAAATATCGCTAAATAAGGTCAAACACAAGGGCGCAAACGGAACTAGGCTCCGGGAAACACGTTACATCACAGGGCGCTCACGGAAGCTACTTCCAGTAGTGACGCAAACCACTCCCCAAAGTCAACTGACAAATGGGAAAAGGGTAAGAGTATACAATACCGATTCCGCAAAAGAGGTTCGTGAGGGAAATCAGGCCACAGCCCTGTCGAACACATACTATGGTTTTTATAACGAAAAAAGTAGTGGCCGGAGGTAACTTCCGTGATGCGCCCGATGGAAGGTTAAGTGTTTTAGTACTGGCATGTAATTTTACTTATCATACGCCTAGTCCTATTTGAATAGATGCACATTTAAGTAGAGTGTTTGTGATACTTATGCCACAGGTATAATGCTTAGAAGTTAGAGTCATTGGTTACCTTCCTTTAGTTCACATTTAAGTAAATTTTAGCGAATTTCCCTATAGGGAAGGAGCTATTACCGTAGGTGGCACAGTGAGACTTAGGCCCGGGAGCGATTTAATTTTATATTTCATGACCCCAAAGGCTAAAAATACCATTCGTTCAAATTTATATAAATATACAAAAATAAAAATAAAATAATTCAGTATATCAATGTGAGTCGGTGGCTCAGTCGGTAGCGTCGCGGACTTCGGGCCCAGGGCAGCGATGTCGTGGGTTCGGATCCTGGTCACTGCCTATAACATTTTATCAGTACAGTTCACCTTTGTACTGTACCGGCTCACTCCTTGCTTTGCTGCAAACGATCCACGCACGGGCGCTTAGTCTATGTAGACGGGCAAATGCAAGGTTAAAAGAGGCCGCCAACCTCTTTAAAAAAAAAAAAAAAAAAATTGTTTTGTACAGTTATTGGTTACGGAGAAAATAAAAAAAAACTGTTATAAAATACCCATGTTCCTCTTATGGAGAGTACTGAATATTGAAAACCCACTTTGCACTCGTGTTACACCTTACATTCTTCCTACAGTTACTATAAAGCATATAAATAATCTTAGTCTTTCAAACACTATGCAACACATTTTTAGGTTATATGTTAAATCCTATCATTGAACGAAATGGGAATCACTGCAACAGCTGATCGTAGTCGTAGTATCTTTAAGCGTTGCAAACCGATTTCCATGCGCATACGAGTTACATGCCTAATAAAAGCATGCTGTTTTGTGTTGTTTGATTGGCATTCTGGAGTGCGGCAAAAAAAAGAGTGCTACATAAGTAAACAACAGCAAGGAAGTACATTTTTTCCACAGTGGTATAATAAATCGTTTGAAAAAATGTTCACCAAACTATCATTTAAATGAGATACTCCGTTTATCAAACATTCATATTATCCAACTGTTGACTCCAAACCCAAATCCTGAATATCAAAATTAAACAGCGAAACCTGTTTACTTAGTTGAGATTACAAATAAATTTAGATAGGGTACTTAATAATAAAATGTTTACTATTAAATTAACCCTTCACAGACGGGTGACAAATATATCCGCCTAAGTCTATGGCGATAAAGGAAGGGTAGCAGATATATCAGCTTATGGTTTTTGATGTTCCGGACAGGAAGCGGATGTATCCGCCTTCTCTTCAGACAGACTGGCAGGTGCTTGAGGAGTAACCAGTTGTTTCGCGGTACCAAGGCGCCACTTTCCTGCTCTCTCCATGGCTGCGCTCTCCCGCGCCTACCCCTCTCCTGCGCCTCCCCCTCTCACGCACACCATCCACCCCTACTACGCTCCCCCCTCGATGTTTTGTGCTCAACTACGTTGTCTTTATTTATTATTTACATATTGTTCTTTATTTATTGCCTAAAGTTGTCATGGTCATATGTTCAAAGACGGGTGGCGGATATATCTGCTGCTTTTCTACTCATCCACAGACAGGTAGCAGATATATCCGCAGGCCTAGTTAAAAACAAGGAACAAATTATTTTGACAGTATGAAGTGTTGCATTGTGTTTTTTTTATTTTTTTATTTTTGTTATTTTTTTAAAGAGTTTGGCGGCCTCTGCATTAACCTTGCATTTGCCCGTCCACATAGACTAAACGCCCGTTCGTGGATCGTTTACAGCAAAGCAAGGAGTGAGCCAGTACAGTACAAATGTGAATTTTACTAATAAAATGTTTTCGGCAGTGACCAGGATCCGAACCCACGACATCGCTGCCTTGGGCCCGAAGTCCACGACACTATCGACTGAGCCACCGACTCACTAAACACATTATGAGCACATTATGTTTATTTTATGTATCAATCAATCAATCAATCAATCAAATATTCTTTATTCACAAAGTTTAGACAATATGTCTTGAATAGCGTCATTAAACTAACATAAACAAAAAATTATAAACTAAATAATTAAAATCATTCACAAAGGATTTATATAGTAAAACTAAAAATGAGTGCTACAACTTTAAAAAATCACAAAATCTTAGAAGGTTACGTTAGAGTAAAACTAGGTAGTAACTGGAATTCAAATGGTCGTTTCGAGATTACAATTTAAAAATTCTTTGATGGAATAAAATGGGTTTCTTATCAACAAGTCTTTTAGTAGGCTTTTGAATCGGTTTGTATTATTTTCTTTTTTAAGTGAAATCGGTAATTTTTGAAGAAATTTTAAGCCTGCATATGAAGGTTTTTTGGTATAGAATTCTAAATTATGTCTAGGAAGGTTAATTTGAAAGCGTGTGTTATATTTACTTGCAGTGGATAATAAATGAAATTGTTTTGCATAAATTATTGTCTCATATATATACAAACTGTAAACTGTTAATACACCCAATTCAGGAAAGATATTTTTAACTGAATCTGTTCTTTTTAATTTCATGATCACTCTAATAGCTTTTTCTTGTTTTATAAGTATTTTATCCAAATTTGCCTTAGTTGTTGCTCCGTAAATGGCGATTCCATAGATGTGGGAATGAATTAGAGAATAATAGATTATCCTAAGAGTTTCCAAGTTGCAAACCTTGGACAAGGCATGAATGCCAGATGATAATTTATTTACTACATAGTTTATGTGATTATCCCAAGATAGATTTTCATCAATAACCAGTCCCAGAAACTTTGTTTGGTTTACCTGATAAATTTTGTCTGTTTTTATAAAAATATTAGGTTCAAATGCTGTTATTGATTGTTTAGTTGAAAAGGATATTAGATTTGATTTTGTTGTGCTGATAAGCAGATTTCTTTCATCCAAAAACTTTTTTATAGAGAGGAGACTCCTGTTTGAGGATTTTTCAATAGTTAAATTGGATTTTCCTGAAAACAAAACATTAGAGTCATCAGCATGTATAACAAAACACAAATAAGGAAAATTAATTTTTATTTTTTCCTATAATTTTTTTCCGTTCTATGTCACGATTTTGCCCGTCCGAGAAGGGTTCAAACTGAAAGAAGAAAACTAATCATTCTCAATAATTTCTTTATCTGGCCAGGGGGTAAAAGTCCGGGGGTATAATTCCGGGGGGTCAAATTCCGGGCTGTACATCTACAGTTGCCTAAACGCTATTTAAAATTCTGGGAATAAAATTCCGGCAACCCAGTAGAATACCTTCCACTAAAAGAGTAATATATTTGTAAGAGGAGTTCTAGAACTTACTAAAAAGGATTAAACTTTAACTTTAAACTTACTTAGTAAGGATTAGAAGAATTATCTTTCTTTTTGAGGTTCAATTGAACCATGATCCAGCTTAAACATCCTCTTTACTCATGCAGTAGCTTGAAATTATAAGAAAAACATGGCTAAGCTTTAGCCTCTTTATTATATGTAACAAGCTTTTACATTGAGATTTATACTATATCATCTAATTATGTAAGATCAAGCATCTTTTACCATAGAATCTTGCTACCCACCTCGGCAGCCGACTGTGAACTTCTTGTAGTATCAAATACATGGAAGCTCCGCGGAGATGCTCCAGGGTCCTCGGAAAACAGAGAATGATTGCGGATAACAGAAGTGGATACCCAGGACTCCCGTACACTGGCTAGGCTATGGAAGTATAGAGTGCGGTCTCCGTTTGTGCGGATAGGACCTGCAGTAGCAGAAATTAAAAAGAGTTCTTTTGAGTTCTTCCCTGGTTACAATTAAATTACCTAGGAAGGAACATAGATGAAACATTAGTCACTTTTGTTATCTTTACTCAATATAACTACATGCAGTAGAACCTTGCAATACTTAAGCAATGAAATTATATTTGTTACTTAGAGAATATCTTTTTCACCACACTACGATGTTTTTAGCCGTTTTACAAATGTTTATTGGAGGCCCAAAGAAAGCTACGTATTGCTGTCTATGCCAGCTGTCATCGTCATTTGGGGACCTAGCAGGTTTTTACATCCCTAGGGCCAAAAATCAACTGAAATGGTTTTGCAGCTCTTGAAACTATCTCGAGCTGGCAAAACCTCATTTTCGGCACTAGGAACGAAATTACTATTTCCCTACACTACTGTGAAATGAGCTGTTTTCGTTACATGTTTATCACCTGCCAAAATTCATCATTACATTGTTTACTACGGAAAAAGAACGTTTACTATGCAAAAGAAATGTTTACTACTGTATCTTTTTTGGATTTTGCCGACGTAAACAAACAAAGAGGTGTTATTGTTTTGTCAACTTTTTCAATTTTCAATAACCAAAACTGTACAAAAACTTAAAACTTAAATTTAAATTGAAGGAATAACCTAAAAAATGCTATGAGTTTCGTATAACTGTAATAAAAGAATTATCTGTTTTACTTAAGAAAATAATTAGTCTTTTTATCGTAGCTCGATAAATCTCGCACTTCAAACATGGTGTCAAATATTTAATGACTTACTTTCTACTCTTGTTATGAAATATACTATTTGCCAAAGCTTCTGCTGTGGTGCAAGGTTTCAGTGAAAGAATAAATTCAAGAGGGTTTAAATGTACAGAGTGTTTCTGTGTTATCCAACTGATATTGCAAACGGTCAAGTAATGTGAAATTTTGTGTTATTTTTAATTTGGGATGACTGTACCACGTAATGGGGTGTAATAGTTAACTCCTCATACTTGTTATATCATTATATCTTTCTATCTGGAAGAGGCGGGCTGAGGCCCCAAGCCCCAACCAAGGTGCTTCATATGGATTTGTAAAACCGTTGCACAATTTAGTCAGTTGATGTTTCCAAAGTCCTTCAATGTCCAAGCACCTTTGATAGTTTTCTGCTTTCTACCCTTGTCACGATTGTGACAGAAATTATATTTTATTTTCATAGATTATAAGGTAATAGAATTGAATGTTAGTACAAATCCTGGAAAACTAGAAGAAACCGGTTTTCTTAGTTCAAGTCGATACCAGCATTGATAACTGCAAGCGCGCAGTCTGGTGGCAAGTGTTCGAGACTAGGCTTAGGGTAGCGATGATTCATAATTTGGAGGAGAACCACTTTGTTTCAATCTCATTTTGCGTAGTTGTGGTCGACAGTCAACTTGTTCCCTCGATTTGGAGGTATGTAATGCAAATAATTAAGCAATTTATGTTTAAGGTTATTCCAGGAAAAATCAGTACAACTTCAATATGTAAATATATATAGCTAAGCATTTTTGGGTAAACCAATTAATAATTTTTACTTAAATTTTGATAGATATGAAGATTGAACACCACGTGTTTTTGGCTCAGGTTTTAACGAGTGTTAAAAAATTGTTTTAGCTTTGTATCTTAAAAGGGATTAAGCTTAAAGAGCATTGTGTCAATCTAAATGATTTTTATAACTATCAGTAACTGTTCAGAGAGAATATTTCGATTAAATTTTATTTTTTAAGGTAAAATTAGGTTGGTTTCAAAGTCATGTTCTAGTTGAACCGACAGGATTTTAATATTGTTTTAGTTTGGGGTAGTTATTAAGGATTTGTCTAAACAGTTATTTATTTCGATATGGAAGAAGGATATGTTTAATTGAGGTTATTTGTGTTTTATTAAAATGTCACAGTAAACTGATTTAGTAATTCGTTAAAGGATAAAGATGTATTAGACACATGTTTGAGACAGCTGTTTTAAAATTACTTTATGGTCAGTTTTATTATTATTATGTAAATTCAGTAAGATTTGTGTTAAAGGGTAATTTGTTAAAATATTTTATATTTTGTACTTAAAATGATTTTATTTAGGGGGTTATTTCAAATGTTTATCAATGAGAACAGAATGATAATTATTGGTATTCCATGTTTAAATTTATTGTGGAGAAACTAGCTAGGCTTTAGGAAAAATTTGGGGAAATTAACTTTGCTGGATAGATGTGTGACTAGACTAAAATAGATATATTTAAGAAGGGATCCATAGTACGAATTTGGAACATGTCCTAGGGTTCAAGTCCCAGAGTTAAACATCGTCGGAGAGTACACCATCGCCTATCTGTTGTCTGGAGGAGCCTGGACCAGTATCAGCTTCTTGGGGGGCCTAACCACCGTCTGGGGACAATCTGTTTGCAAAACCATGGACGTCTTCTCACCAGTAGACTGTCTCCGGCTCAGATCATCTCACTGAAGCTCCACCGAGGATTGAAGACAGCATCCGTGAAGTGATGAGTACCCTTCACCATGTTACACATCAATATTTTCAAGTTTTATGATTAGGCCTATATTTGAGTTGTAAAGTAGGAAAGTATGGACTTTGGAGAGGACGAGAAGTTTTAGGGGGATTTATATATAAGGTTTGATCGATCAAAGAAAGGGGAGGGCAAAATAAAAGGGGGGGGGTTAGTAATGGTTGTAAAGTTTATTTTGGTTAAGTGGAGAAATAGTTTTTGTTAATTTTCTAAGGTGTTTTATCATACTGAACAATTGTTAGTTTTAAGAGTTTATTTCATTATATTGGATTTTTACTGGAATAATACGACTTCTTATTTCAGCATGCCCTTCTTGCCTCCTTTCACAGCACGCTATACTTGATCTTAAATTTAAGTCACTTAGGTGTGTCAGATGCGCCACTCTGCTAATCAAGTTCGTGTTTGTGAGAGGCGGAGAGAGAAGCATGATGAAATAGAGATTTTAAAGGTTTTGAGTCAAGTAAATAAATCATGGGTTTCAATGTTGATCTGCTCCACAAAGATGAGCTGTTGTACGAGTTGCAATGGCGGGGTTTCCCTGTTACTGTAAATAATACTGTAACTATCTTGAGAAAACAACTTAGGAAGGCGTTGAAGGATAATGTACCGACGAAATGGGAAAATTTAACTGTGTTAAGGGTAACAATAGAACTAGACAATTGTCGAGAGAAGGTTGAAGAATTTCGGGAATTACTCGCGAGTGTTGAAGAGATTAAGGAGGCGGTCGGTATTCATAGGTTGAAAGAGCGAGTCAGTCATTTGAAGCGACGTTTGGGTAATTTGCTCGAAAACGGGAATATTCGTTTGCCAGATCAATCGCGAAGCCAGGTTTCAGAATGGGTCAATGAGTCCAATCAGTGGGAAAAGGCACTGCGTAAAGGTTTAGATAGGTTAGACCAGACCGTAGTTGAAGCTAGTTTGAGAAAGTTAAGTGAAACACATGAAGTTGAGGAGAATGGTATCGAGTCGGATAGTATAGATTATAGTAAGGATGTTTTTGAGCCAGAAAATGCGCAAGCGATGGGTAATTTGGATAAGAACCAAACAGAAAACAATGTTTCTGGGTCTAATGTAGAGATAAGCAATTTGGGTATTGATAAGAGGTTGCATACATCTTCTACTTCTGAGTTGTTTACAAAGCTAACAAATCCACTTGAAAAAATCATACGTGAAATCCCTTCTAATGTTAATGGCTTGGACCACAATAAGTTATTAGCTTTACTCAATGTAGTAAATAAGTTAAAAAAGTGTGGTAAACTTAATGATTCACAGGTTTTAGAGGTTGTAGCTAGTCATGTAAGCGAACCATTGTTGGGTAGAATAAAAACGCACATCCAATGTCGGTCAAACGTAAGCTCTGTGCATAGTGCCTTACTAAGGTACTTCATTCCACAGGGTTTATATGAGAAGCTAAAACGTGACCTGGTACATAGACCCCAGGGTCCAGACGAACCTCTTGCCATGTATGTGTGTGAGGTAAGGAATAACGCGGAGTTATTAAAATGTGATTACTCAGAACGTGAACTGATTGACGTAATTATCGTAGGAATAAACCCGAGGGACAGAAATAAATTAGTTTTCCAGGAATTTCCTAAAAGTTTACAAGATTTGGAAAAAATGTGTATGGTAATTAAGAATGTTGAGTATAATGACTGGGAAAGGGAACAGATAAGAGGGAGAAGGAATCAGTTTGGCGGTAATAATTCTGGTCGTGGTTATGTAAATAATGTAAATACGACTAATGGAAGAGAAGGCGGGAGTAACCAGATGGAACCACGATTATGTCACTACTGTTCTAAACCCGGTCATTTCATAAGGGATTGTTGGAAACGAGGTAGGGACATTAGGGGAGGTTACACTAGGGGAGGTCACACAAGTGGCGTGTCAAACAGGGAAGACGTCGGGAGTAGGCCTACAGGGACCAACAATCAGGGAAACTAGTGAGCGGGAAGAGTGCCTTCCATAAAACAGGGGACTTTAATAAAAAGAAATTTAAGAAAACATTCAATAACAGTTTATGTAATTTAGATGTTAAGAAACATGTTAAGAATGAGAAAAATCAGGAAAAGAAATTAGAGAGAAAGATTAAGAATAGGCGTTGGTTCAAAACTAAAAGAGGTATTCATAACTTGCCAGTAGTAAATGTACATTTTAGTAACAATATGGTACAGTGTGCATTGTTAGATTCGGGGAGCTCTATAAACATTATAAGTAAGAATGTTTATGATAAGCTGGAATCTAAAAGGCTAGTGATAAGCAGGTCTAACGATAAGGTTAACTGTGTAACCGCTACAAGTGAATCCGTAAACTTATTAGGTAAATGCATTGTGAAAGTAAAAATCCAAAATAAGTCATGGTCCGTGCAGTTTTTTATTGCCGAGAAAATAACCTGGGATGTAATATTAGGAGTTAGGTTCATGGAGAAAACTGGACTAGTTTTAAATCTAAGAGAAAATAAAGGTTATTT